AACACTTAAGCAGAACAAAATGTGACATTACTAATTTGAAGTTTTATTTTTAAGTATTAAGAGTACTGGCATTTGCTTACATAGCAGCAGCACGGCATGGTAGAAAAATCATATGCTTTGGAATCTAATGTACTTGAGTCCAGTTTCATTTAATTAGTGTTGTTGTAATTATTAGATCCAATGTAAACTGAGTGACCTAATGGTAGTTAACGGAACACTCTGATCCTCAGTTATCTGGTCTACAAAATGTATATATCAAGGCCTACCTTGTATATGTGTTGCTGTGAGGATTTAATGAGATCATGGTTAGCAAAATGCCCTGCCGCTGCCAGGACCCCAAAAGGCACTCACAAATGGCCCTCATTATAGTGACCAATTATCCTTTTAGACAATAAGATTTTATAGGTCTTCACTTTAGACAATTACATTAATGACTAATTTTTGACACAATAGTCTTCACAAATTCAGATGTGTTCTGATTTTGGTTAACAAGAATACCAACCCTGACACAACTCCATGGAGACTGGAGAAAAGACCTAAGTTCCATTTCTAGAATCTTTTCCTAATGACAATGTCCTGAATATTCCATTTACTTCCACCAAGAGTAAGAGACCCAGGAATGCTGAAGTAGAAACGACTATTAGGACTGATACAATAGGACTCTGTCAGGTAATTAATGGAGTAAATTCATAATCCCCAAACATAAGCACTACTTCTCCTGCATGTTGATGGCTTGTTGTTTGGAAAGAGAATATTTTCACTTTTGGGAAATGAAAAAAGAAAGTTTGTAGTCAGACAGATGTGAGTTTCAGGCCTGACTTTATGACTTATCAATTTCTACAGTTGGTGTTCTTGAAAAAAACGGGGATAATAATGCCTTAGAAAAACATGAAGGGTGATTGAGTGAGTTAAATGATACACAGTTTTGCATAGGACCAACCAATACATCAGGGATTCTCCATAAACACAATAAACAATAGTTTATTCCCTTGGAAATGATTTAAAAGGTGCTAACTGGATTTAATAAGAAAGACAGTGAGGCCATATGAGGAGGAAGAGTTGGACGAAAAGACACACCAGCTGCCTATTTGGGGAAGATCATTTACCTTGACTCATTCTCAGTTTCCACATCTGTATAGTGGGGACAATGCTCTTCATCTGCTTGCCCCAAAGGGTTGACATAAAAGAGGAAGACACACTAGTGTCTGTGAAAGAACTTTTAAAACCACATGTACTGAATTTTTGCTCTCAGTAATGGTGGGGTAGACAAGTGTACAGCCAAGAACAATGAAAACAAGCTAAATAAAATATATTTTAAAGTATATTTGAAGACATCTCAGAGTTACCAAGGAAGTTAAGGCTTAAGGAGCCAAGATCTGGAAGAGAAGAAAAACCCAGAAAAACAACCCTGATATCTGATGCCTATGCTTTCCCTTTAAAAGCATTTACTGATTCTAAATCAGTAGCTGATGGGGCCATCTCACAGGGTAGAGGGAACAGAAGCTGGCATTTAGGTTCTGTCTGTCAAGGCCCTCGCAAAATCCCCTGGCTTAAATTGGGACCCTTAAAGAGCAAAACCCTATGAGTAACAGTTGACAAGAAATAGATCCACCCTCAGGAAGCCCAGCTTTGAATCAGTCCACTGCCTGATTAGGTTAAAGTGATCTGTTCCTTACCTTAACTGCCTGTTAGAGCAAAATAAAATCTGCTCTTTTGGAAGGCAACAACATTTAAAGCCTCAAATTCTAAAACCTTTTATACATAATGTTTAGCATTTGAACAAACATAATCTAGCAAGCAAAAACACAAGGAGAAAACAGAAAAAAAAAAAGACAATTAAAAATTCACAAGTTATTCTGATACTGGAGTTAGACAAAAATCAGAAAAAATAAAACAACCTTTAAAAAAATTTAATTAGAAGACCAGAAGGACACTGCTAACTTAGTTGTCTTAAAATACAATCATTTTCTGGAAAAAAACTACTTGCAAATTTACTCTTAAACAACCTCAGAACTTGTCCACTTAAAAAGTTCAATAAATTTATAAGAATTGTGACTAGATTGAGACGGAACAGAAAATGTTCTGGAGGTTTTTCCATGATATCGTAATTTTGTGGAAATTTTTTTGGGGGATTATTATCTTGGACACAAAATATCACTGATTTTAATCCCTAAAATTGTAATCCATTGTCCTATGCAATTTACTATTCATACTCTACATGAAACAGCAGATTCCACTTGGATTTACCATGTTTTGGTTTTTAGGAGCATCATAGGACAGATCTTTTGTTAATAAAATACAACCATTTTGACTATAGTGGACTAACATAATTATCGCTTCATCAGTTGCTCCATTAGTTCATTCATTAGATACTATTAGAGTCATCATTAGACCAGAAATGAATTTCTATCATTACAATTAAATATGTTTGGTTTTTGACCTAAGTACAGGAAAGAGAGACCATATTTTGATTTTTAACTCTCAAGAAAGAAATAAATGGATAATAATGCAGGATATATTTTCAGTTTGATTCAAATTTAAAGATAACTGTAGAATTAAGTAACTTAATGGCAACAGATATGTGGACAACAACATTCAGGGGGAAAAAAGTCTATTATGTACGACCACTAAGAGTTTATAGAGTAGTTGAGTGCTCTACTGGCTGCCTGCCATTCTTCAGATGTCCTCTGTTAAATCCGAATATTTCATCCATTTATCACTGTACCTGAAATTTATCAACAGCATTTAGTTTTTCACTCTTATCTATAGCTGAATTAACTCTATTCCATCAAAATCAACTAGACTGCAAGATGAGAGAACCAGAAAGGCTGGGGAGAAGGGAAGGAAAGAGACTCCTGATTCCAAAATGATTTAAACAAACAGAGGTTAGAAGGTAAATAGGAAGTGCCATTGGTAGATGACAACTTCATTGTGAAATTCCTGTCCTGCAATTATTTACAAAGAACAGGAGATTCTTCTCTGTTAGACCATAATTAGCAGAGAAATATGTAAGTCTTCCTTAGGAAGATCTCACGGCTCCAGAGCCAGCAGGATCTAACTATAAATTGACTCTGTTAATGTACCTAAAGAAGGAATATGTCCATGAAAGAAGTCAGCTAAAAAGGTGTTGAAAAAGGACCAATTATTGGCAAATTTAGGCAACATTCAAATAAACTAGTCCAGAAGAGTCTTAACTAAGCATATGGGAACATGACAGTTTTAGGATAAGGCTATCCTTATAGTGGATCAGAGTGTCTCAGCCTCCTTAGGATCATAGTACAGCTTCAAATTTGTTCTGAGGTTCAGAGAAGTTAAGCAAACTGCTCTATGTTAGTTATTTGTTCCTTAAGTCAGGATTTAAAACCACGAGTCCAACTGACTATGAGCCAAATACCATAAGAAGAAGTATCAATATATGTCTAGGCTACCTATGCTTACTTCCCTCAGGTGATTCATTTATTTGTAAAGAATGAATATACTTTAAATGCTACAATTTTTAAAATCTGATAAATTCACATAACTTGCTCTAAGGAAACTTTAATATACATCTGAACAAAATGTTGAAGATACATATGTAGCTCCAATCAAGGCCATTTTGCTCCTTCCTATCTGAAGATCCAAATCTGCACTGGGTAACATTAAAAGCAGAAAGGAACTTTGAAAACCAATACGAAGACTTTTGGAAGCTCTTAAAGAGGCAGTAAATTTAACTGGGTGGAGTAGGGGTGGGGAGGAAGGGGGGGCACGCTCTTCTCCTAACACATTCTAAACCCTTAGGTATCTTTCTCCTCAGAGTCCATTCATTGTAGCAGTTGCTTACTCACTCATTCATGCAGCAAATATTTATTGAGAATTTACTGTGCTCCAGGCACTCATGCTACATTAGCAGTTCATCAACCTCTCTGATGGCTTCTGTCTTCAGTCCACTTCTCTCTTAACCCTTTCTTCAACCAACAAGACCTTTACATCACAGAAACTGCAGTTTCTTACCATTTCTGATATATACCTACTCAGTCTCTTTGTCTTCTTCCAATTCCATTCTTGCTTAATTACCCTGTTCAGCACAGCAAAGAGCTGCCCATTAGGGCAAAGAGGGAATTCAGAGAAGATAAGGAGGGTTGGAAAGCTATGGAAGCTTAAAGTGTGTGTCTCTTGTACAAATAGTGTGCCTATATTATGCTCTACCAGATTTCCAGAAATACTTCCTGCCATCCTCAAACCTCTGCCTTGAGTGATGAACATATGAACAGACAACTAAAATTGGCTATAATTGGATATAACAGAACATGTTTTTCTCTGCAACTTGGAACTCTTTACACAGCCTAACAAAGAAAGTAGGCCTAGAAACAATCATTTGGAGAGAATTGATTTTTATGGCTTTTGGATCATAATAAAGAATACTATTATAATACATGTTTAACTTTCTATAATTCTCATTGAACATTTTCTCACAAAATATTCTCATAAATCTTACTATTTAGTTTAGATTTAGTATGACTTTAGAAATTCTGCTTTTTATCTAGAAGTAAATGTTTGCAGAAGTAAATAGTACAATGTTTCTATTTTTGTTCACTAAGCATCCCAAATTTTAGTCTACCCACATCTTATCAAATATCACACTCTTTCCATTCTACACTCCTTTTTTTTTTTTTTTTTTTTTGCGGTACGCGGGCCTCTCACTGTTGTGGCCTCTTCCGTTGTGGAGCACAGGCTCCGGATGCGCAGGCTCAGCGGCCATGGCTCAAGGGCCTAGCCTCTCTGCGGCATGTGGGATCTTCCCGGACCGGGGCACGAACCCGTGTCCCCTGCATCGGCAGGCGGACTCTCAACCACTGCGCCACCAGGGAAGCCCCTACACACCTTTTAAGATTTATTTTAGTAGAAGTTATCAACTGGTGTAATATGTCATTATGAAAAATTTCAGGAGAAATTTCCTTTTGGTTATTTTTGGTGACTGGAAGCAAAACCTTACTGTGGTTACATTGCCAGGACCTACTCACCTGTCAAACAGCTCTCCCCCTGTGACGAGTTCTAGGACCAGACTGATTTCTGTAGGGGTTTCAAATATCTCTTTAAGTTTTATCTGGGAAAAGATATAAAAAAAATCACAAATTCTTTATTTTTAAGTTTCTAGGAAATAGTTAAAATTATGGCTACAACAGCACTCTCTGTAATAGCAATATGTTGGATCATGGTTAAAAAAGCTTCCTTATTCTAGTACCAAGCAGTCATTTGTCACTCTCTGGTTGTTTTTATCAGTTACCTAATTTCTTCAAAGGTCCTTTTGAGTTTTTATATTTTTCATCTTGATAGTTGAAAGATACCTGCCCTAGAAATGCTTCTTAAATTTTGCCAAATCATTCCAATTTCTGCATTTCAACAGAATTAAAAAAAAAAACAAAAAACAAACAAAACAAACCAGAAGCAAACAAAACTTCCTAAACCATTTGAAAGCATCATGGTTGGTAGAGATGCAAATGCCTCTTTCTCCTAGAAAGGGACTTCAGTTAGGGGTCTGAGACAGAACAGGACCAGGTTAAAGTCTGTCTGTAGGGAAAGGGAATCCCTTTAACAGCTAAGAAGTTGCTGGTAGATGAAAGGATACTCAGAAAAGTAACAGTGATAGTGATTTGATTGACCATAACAGGGTTTTCATCACATTCAGATAATCTATCCAATTTTGGATATTTTCCTTCTGAGAATCTAGTGACCAGGACTGATCTATATTTGAGGAAAATTCCATATTGACGTCTCTTTGAAAGAAATAAGACGGATAATGTAAAAGTGGTGATTATATATGGTAAATTTTGTTAATTGCTTACCCAAAGCCCTTCTCCCCCTACTTTACTGAACCCTGATTTGTTTAGGAAGCAAGGTACCTAGCCTTAAATTATGGATTATGTTTGGTCTAGGCCACTTATGATAACCCTACTCCCTAATTTTTCAGTCTCCATGCAGTTTAGGGTGATTCTGTGACCACATCTTGTGGCCACAAACTGAAGAGAATTCTACTGCAGCCGGAAATTCTGGAAAAAGCCTTTACGCTTCTCATCAGCCTCTGCTCGTTAAGCCTTTCCACTACTTTCTGTCTTGAATATAGACCTGAAGACTTGGGAACACTGTGGAGCAGCCATTTTAGGACCATGAGGGAAAAGCATGAAGGTGAAAGTCAGTGCACTGAAGATGGGCGAACCAATGGATGGAAGGTGTCTGGGTCCTGGATGGCATCACTGAGGAAGTGAACGAGTGTTAACAACTGCCTGCCTTCTGATTTCTTACAACATAAGAAAAATATTTGTTTAGACCACCATATTCAAGTTTTCTGTTATTTACAGCTGAGTGCATTGCTAACTAATATACAAGTTTTAAGCACTTTGCCTTGAGCCTAAGCATTGCAGGTCATCCTTGGGAACACCACAACTTTCTCAGAGAAATGAGTAAAATATTTTAAGTAAGTGACTCAATTTATAGAAACAAGTTATGGTCTGGAAAATGATTTTGTTCTTTTCACTTCACTGGCTCAAGAAAGCTTTTCCCCAGCCCTTCTTTCCCTCAGTGCCTTTGTCTGGACATAGCCTAGAGCAGAGCTTGGGAGGACGTTTTATTTTCCCCATTCAAGTTCAGTATTTATTTGAATCTTCACATTGTCTCTGAAGCAAATACTCTCTCATAGGAGAGTGAAATGACTATGGAAAGAAATGCATTTTCTTCACAGGCGTTTTCAGCAATGGCATATTAATAAGATAGGCCCACAAAAGGAAAAAAGCCAGTGTCTTATTAGAGGGAAAAAAACTCTCCAATTTTAGTTATCCTCTTATGCATGAAAACATCAATGGTATATATTGCTGATCTGCCCATTTTGCAACTCTTTCAAGGGGTATTATTCTTAAGATTTATTCAGTTAAAAAGAATTGAAAAACGGGATCAGATAAGGACAAGAGCTAGGCCAAGGTGGCTACTTACTGGAAGTGGAAGAATCCCTTTCTCATCATCAGAATGGACAGTAAAGAACAAAAATCTCATCCTGTAACATTGGAGATTATTTGAAATAACAGGCTAAAAACCACTTACAATGTTTGGATGTGAGAGGCGAAGAAGAACTCCTATTTCAGTTCTTACGATTTTTTTGTCCACCTAAAAGGCAAAATGAGAGAAACTGAAAGATACTCCCGCCTTAGAAATATCTTCATTGTAGCAGAGAGTCAGAAACAGCAATAACCACCTGGATGAATCAGGTCAATGGCAGAGGTTAATTTCTAAGTGTTGCCTTCCTCCCTTTTTTGTCCAGCTGCATGTCTTTCCTCTCTGTTTCAGACATAAAGAGAACTAGTTACAAATATGGGCCACAACTTGTCAGACCGCTTGTGTGGTCCCTTTGCTATCAAAAATTATCGCTATCACCACTAAGGCACAACTACATCTCAACCTATTCCTCCTCCTCTTCCTTTCTTTTTTGAATCCTTGACCCAAACCCATTGGAGCTGTCAATCACTTCGCCTGCCTTTTTCCCACAGAAGTGAGCACATAACCCAGCCTAACCAATCAGATTACTCTCTACTCTGGCCAAAGTGACTTGAGTCTGGGATATCCACCAGATCCAAGTCATTACAATCTGGGTCCTCCCCCCAAATATTGCTCATATAATCAAGAAAGAGGTATTCTCTTTTCCTCTGAAATTGTGAGAGCAAGAGTATAGAGTCTGCCACTACCAGGGACCATTTTTGATACCATATGGAGATCACTTCACTGAAAATGGAGCCAACACAGAGAAAAACATTGCTAGAGATGAAGAATGAGTACCGCTGACCATGTAATCCACTGGATTCAGTTTTGCATAAGCTAGTTTGCCCTTTGAGCTGTCTTATTATGTGAGCTACTGAATCTCCTTTTCTACTTAAGTTATCCAGAGTTGCGTGATGCTATCAGTGATGTAAGCTGAAGGAAAATAAAGGGGTCTAAGGAAATGATGACTCAATATGAAAGCCTGGAGTAGAGATTTGGATAAAGCAGTTCCTCAGATCTATGTGTTTTCTGGGAGGGAAGAGGATCTAAAACATTCATCATATTCTCTAAATGTCTGAGGCAGAGGAAAGCCTAAAAATCTGATCTATTTAAAAAAGATAAAATGTGTTCCATGGAACTGGGGAGTCAAGGATCTCTCTTGAATGTATACGTAATGAATGTATAGTACATAGTAAGGGTCTAATGTAGTTTTTTTTTTTTTTTTTTGTGGTACACTGGCCTCTCACTGCTGTGGCCTCTCCCGTTGCGGAGCACAGGCTCCAGATGCGCAGGCTCAGCGGCCATGGCTCACGGGCCCAGCCGCTCCGCAGCATGTGGGATCTTCCCGGACCGGGGCATGAACCCATGTCGCCTGCATCGGCAGGCGGACTCTCAACCACTGCGCCACCAGGAAAGCCCTAATGTAGTTTTTAATGTGCTCAGCCTCATGTTAAACAATGCTGGGCATATGAAAAAACAAAATATCATCTTTTTCAGAGGAAGATTAAAATCTAATTTTGGGCATAAGACTCCTCTAGAAGATGCCATAAGAAGATAGAAGAATGCAAGTTGTAAACAAGTTTTGTTTTAAAAATTCCATTGTTCAGTGGAAGATCATTTTTCTGTGAGTCAAAATACAGCTATCATTCAAACAGTGGGCTAACTCTAAAAGACTTTGAAATTATTAGCGATTAAAAGTCATGCTATTAGACTTCCCAGGTGGCGCAGTAGTTAAGAATCCACCTGCCAATGCAGGGGACACAGGTTCGATCCCTGGTCCAGTAAGATCCCACAAGTTGAGGAGCAACTAAGCCCAGATGCCACAACTACTGATCCCGCATGCCACAACTACTGAAGCCTGCGTGCCGAGAGCCTGTGCTCCGCAACAAGAGAAGCCACTGCAATGAGAAGCCCGCGCACTGCAACGAAGAGTAGCCCCTGCTCGTCATGACTAGAGAAAGCCCGTGCGCAGCAATGAAGACCCAACGCAGCCATAAATAAATAAATTTATTAAAAAAACAAAAAAGTCACACTAGTGTTAATATAAAATGAAGAAAGACTTGTTAAAGTGCGCACAGGTCATGCTAGTGTGATATGTGGGCTGCTGATGGCCACTCAGTGATATCAGACAGCCCAACACATGGGATATTGACAGCATGGTCTCTGGGTAACGTAGTATTAGAGGAAAACGCTATAAAAGTTATTTTATCTAGTTAAAAAATCACATACTTCATGAAAATTTGCTATTGAGCAAGAGTCATTCTACTTGTATCAAAAGGGAGAGCTCTGAGAAAGAGGGGCATTGCTAAAACAGGCAGATGACACTGACAGATCTCTTCCAAAGAGTTCTTGGTTCACACTCCATTTCACTTCTGTAGATGCTGTTGAGGAAAATTTGGATATAGATGATAATTTTTAAATTATTTTAAAAATTTTAATTTTTTTTCTAGCTTTGCTGAGGTATAATTGGTATACAAAAAACCACACGTAATTAATGTATACAATGTGGTGAGTTTGGACACGTGTATAGATTCATGTTACCATCACCACAATCAAGGTAATAAACATATCCATCACCTCCAAAAGTTTCCTGTGTCCCTTTGCTGTGTGTGTGTGTATGTGATGTGTGTGTGTGGCGGGGGGTAAGCACACTTAATGTGAAATCTACCCTCAACAAATTTTTAAGTGAACAATACCTTATTATTAACTCTGGGCATTATGTTGTACAGTAGATCTCTGGAACTTACTCATTTTGTATAACTGTAACGTGATACCCATTGAACAACAACTCTCCATCTCCCCCTCCACCTATCCCTTAGGAAGCACAATCCTACTCTCTACTTGTATAAGTCTGACTATTTTAGATGCCTCATATAAGAGGAATCATTCAGTGAATACAGATTTTTTTTATTGGAGTATAATTGCTTTACAATGGTGTGTTAGTTTCTGCTTTATAACAAAGAGAATCAGCTATACATATACATATATCCCCATCTCTCTTCCCTTTTGCATCTCCCTCTCTCCCACCCTCCCTATCCCACCCCTCTAGGTGGTCACAAAGCACTGAGGTGATCTCCCTGTGCTATGCGGCTCCTTCCCACTAGCTATCTATTTTACATTTGGTAGTGTATATATGTCCATGCCACTCTCTCACTTTGTCCCAGCTTACCCTTCCCCCTCCCTGTATCCTCAAGTCCATTCTCTAGTAGGTCTGTGTCTTTATTCCCATCTTGCCCCTAGGTTCTTCATGACCTTTTTTTTTTAGATTCCATATATATGTGTTAGCATATAGTATTTGTTTTTCTCTTTCTGACTTACTTGACTCTGTATGACAGACTCTAGATCCATCCACCTCACTACAAATAACTCAATTTCGTTTCTTTTTATGGCTGAGTAATATTCCATTGTATATATGTGCCACATCTTCTTTATCCATTCATCTGTCGATGGACACTTAGGTTGCTTCCACATCCTGGCTAGTATAAACAGAGCTGCAATGAACATTTTGGTACATGACTCTTTTTGACTTATGGTTTTCTCAGGGTATATGTCCAGTAGTGGGATTGCTGGGTCATATGGTAGTTCTATTTTTAGGTTTTTAAGGAACCTCCATACTGTTCTCCATAGTGGCTACACCAATTTACATTCCCACCAACAGTGCAAGGGGGTTCCCTTTTCTCCACACCCTCTCCAGCATTTATTGTTTGTAGATTTTTTGATGATGGCCATTCTGACTGCTGTGAGATGATATCACAATGTAGTTTTGATTTGCATTTCTCTAATGATTAATGATGTTGAGCATTCTTTCATGCGTTTGTTGGCAATCTGTATATCTTCTTTGGAGAACTGTCTATTTAGGTCTTCTGCCCATTTTTGGATTGGGTCATTTGTTTTTTTGATATTGAGCTGCATGAGCTGCTTATAAATTTTGGAGATTAATCCTTTGTCAGTTGCTTCATTTGCTAATATTTTCTCCCATTCTGAGCGTTGTCTTTTCGTCTTGTTTATGGTTTCCTTTGCTGTGCAAAAGCTTTTTAGTTTCATTAGGTCCCATTTGTTTATTTTTATTTTCATTTCTCTAGGACGTGGGTCAAAAAGGATCCTGCTGTGATTTATGTCATAGAGTGTTCTGCCTATGTTTTCCTCTAAGAGTTTGATAGTGTCTGGCCTTACATTTAGGTCTTTAATCCATTTTGAGTTTATTTTTGTGTATGGTGTTAGGGAGTGTTACAGGTAGCTGCCCAGTTTTCCCAGCACCATTTATTGAAGAGGCTGTCTTTTCTCCATTGTATATTCTTGCCTCCTTTGTCAAAAATAAGGTGACCATATGTGCGTGGGTTTATCTCTGAGCTTTCTATCCTGTCCCATTGATCTATAGTTTTGTTTTTGTGCCAGTACCATACTGTCTTGATTACTGTAGCTTTGTAGTATACTCCGAAGTCAGGGAGCCTGATTCCTCCAGCTCCGTTTTTCTTTCTCAAGATTGCTTTGGCTATTTGGGGTCTTTTGTGTTTCCATACAAATTAGTGAATACTGATTATTTTTTATCACAATCTTCTCTTCCACAGGACAATAAGGAGTTACTCACTAATACAAAATAAATATATTTTACATTACTGCATGATGCTTAAAAAAATTTTAAGGACATGGGTGTCTCTAAATTAAGATTTGTTAATATTCAAACATATTTTTTTCACTACACATTTAGCGCTTATGTAATATACGGTTTTCCCCCTTGTTTTTTTTCAAATATTTATTTATTTATTTATTTTTGGCTGTGTTGGTTCTTCGTTGCTGTGTGCGGGCTTTCTCTAGTTGCGGCGAGCAGGGGCTACTCTTCGTTGCGGAGTGCGGGCTTCTCATTGTGGTGGATTCTCTTGTTGTGGAGCATGGGCTTTAAGCGCCTGGGCTTCAGTAGTTGTGGTTCGTGGGCTCTAGAGCCCAGGCTCAGTAGTTGTGGCGCACGGGCTTAGTTGCTCCGCGGCATGTGGCATCTTCCCAGACCAGGGATCAAATCCGTGTCCCCTGCATTGGCAAGCGGATTCTTAACCACTGAGCCACCAGGGAAGTACCCACCTTGTTTTTGTATGTTTTTGATCCATATAAAATAAGTGTCAGAGAGATCCTTTAAT